ACAAGTCACAAAGAAAGTGTCAAAAATTTTATATGAACTTTTTCGATATCATTTATTCCCTACGCTTAAAAATTGAATATATTACTTAAAAAATATTAAATATCTGCAAACAAGATAATTTATTTCCATTTTACGGAATTTTATGATTGAATTAATGATGCTGTATGTTGTGATAAGGACTGAAAAAATACTAATTAGTGATTACAAAATAAAACGTAAATATAGAAATATTGAGACTCTGTAAGTTAGTCACTATCAAATTAATTAAAGAGTCTAATTTTTCATAATAATTACAAGATAATTAGATGGAAATTTAGAATCACAAACATTAGTAAATACAATAATTATAGTGTATATTATAAATCTATAAAATATTAACTGTACATAAAAATTCTCCAACTTATATGTATAAAAAAAGGAAAACAAAAAATGTACTTGTAGACATTAAAAAGTACAACCTCCACAAGCTGTTATTCGTATGTATAAAATTAATGCACTAGTACGTCTTTGCTTTCGGTCGTGGTGCCCTGTCGCGTTGGACTCAACAGTTCTTGTCGATCGCGTTCGCGTTCCCGTCCTGGCCTAAATGCCTCCAATAAAGCCTCCACTCTCTCATCTGTCGGACCCCACCGTTGATAACCGGTTATATTTTGAAGCCAAACTATCACAGTTCCATGAGATGATCGAACATTTAATTCAGACCTGTAACAAAATAACAAAATCACTCCAATCATTACTACTTAATTTAGTTTACTATTTGTAATATTCCAAGTAGGATATTTTTTACAGATTAACTAAACAAAAGTTACAAATATCCATACTTTCCTTAGTTTAATTCTTTCAGTAAAACCTAATTTTCGATAAATCTTATAGTAGTTTTCAATAGATGTTAATAGTATATGTACCCCTATTATTACAAACTTTCTATGACAAACAAATTTTGAAAAGCATGCAAGTTTTAACACCTGTAATTATTACTTTCTGAAATTTCAAATTGGTGAAGTAAAGAGAACCCTTATGTAAAATCTAACTTTACAAATTTTGTTCCCGTCTTCTACGAACAAAAATATGAAAATCTGAAGAAAGAATTTTAAATAATGTGTAAGTTATAACACTTTTGAATTCTACTTTGCAAATTTTGGATTCANGGTCTTTGTCAGCAAAAATCACAAAAAATACGACTTTTTCTTCCTACTAAATGTGCCTATTTAATATTTATTTAAATGAACTCTTAAAATGTATTTATTTATAAATACAATACCTGCTAAGCACATGTTGAAAACCATGCCGAAATTCATGTTCATATGCGGGTACAGTAACCTGTTTCTTTTTAAACTGACTTGATTCAAGTCTAAGGAGCGCGTTCAGCGTTGGTTCCCTATAATCGGGCATAAACACGATAAAACTCAGAGGTTCTGGACTATCGGAGAGCAATCGTTCTATGTGGTCTACCGCTGATTCCATTAATTCCTCACAATAAGGTGGGTGTGCTTCAAAAGAACCAGACACAGCTTTCAGTTGAAGAAACGGTCTAAAATACAAAGAAACAACATAATTAGATTTGTTGCAGACAAATGTGGTAATCCGATGGACCGAACACACCACAATTGTACATCTCGGCTCACCAAATTAAATCCCCCTACCATTAGTTCTTTGCACATCTCTCTCAGCAACAAAGTTGTTTACAAATCTTTTAATGGACTTGTCAATAAAAAAAATTAAGTGTTAAGGGTTTATAGTAGCAAACTAACAATTAAAATAAATAAATAAAAAGTAAAATAAAAAACAAAAATGTTCCGTATAATTTACGTAATCTTTTGTTAATTGAAATCAAACCCTCTTACAATGTAAATGGAACAATTTTCCATTACAAACGCGCACTTTAAACATCTATTGTACGTTTTTTATAAAGAACAAAAAAACGGTACGTAGTTTTCCATATAACTTAGCATATACCTTATATCGACTCTGAATATTGTTCCTGAAAGCTTGTTACAAGTTTTGAGAATCACCATTAAATAACAAATTGTATTAAGGAGTCTATTAGGCCATTTCTATTATTATTATTTCTATTTTTATATTTTATTTAACATCACTATGATATAAATTTAATTGTTCAATACAATTATGAAATCTCTTTACCTTTTTATTAATGAATATTGTATAATTTGTAAATTTCATACCACCGCAAATGATTTTGAACAACTTTTACAAAAGGGCCTCTAATCTACATACATAATTAAAATAAAAATTTAAATCTTTGATGGATGGCAGAAAACACTGGGATTGTTTCGCTAAATATTTATTGTTTTCTACAGTATTGTTTCTTTGTCACTCATCAATCTTTTAGATTTATTTACTGTTAATGTTAATTCTAAACCGTACCATTCCTTAAAAAATGAATGAATAATAAACTCATAAAATACCTACGCTGACTAAAAAAAGGGAAATATGAAAAATTACCCTCTACTTCCAAAATACGAATCGCAATCTGCAAATGCTGAACAATATTGTTTGAAGTAACAGTTTAATGGTGATGCAAAACACTCAAATGTGACCCCGAATGTCCTATGTAGACATTCGAATACCGTCACAGGAAGAGACGCCTGCGTGTCTTGACAGTCAACACTAGCAGTATTCAAAGAAGGGTAGACACCGAGGAAAGTGGCGTAACGCTTGAGCATAACCCATACTCGAGGTATGAACAATTCAAATTTGCGGTCGTCGAAGCAACTGTGCCTATACAAATGTTCCTGCAATCAACAAGAATATTAATTAGACATTAATATCTACCCATAACAAACGTCTGCAAGTATATATCTGTACATTTAAAATCTACGAACATTCAAAATTTTGTAGACATCTAGCCAAATAAAAAAAAATCAGGTGCTATCTCAAGAATACTTGTTGTTTAATAATAGACCTACGATAAAGATATTTTTAAATTCCCAACGTTACTCGAGTCGTCCAGGATATAAGAAAATAAAAAAACTTCCTTGGGATATGCACAACAACTCACCAAAATTTCATCACAATCGGTTGAATGGTATAGGAACACATACCCAACAAATAACAAAACCACATTTTCAAATTTTTTAAATGTAACATTTCATAATCCAAAAAAAATGTATAAAATGAAAAACAGAACGACGACCTAGAATGTAAAATTTAAGGACTTAAGTAAGTAAAGAAACTTCAATTAAAATGTTCCTCTTTTTTTGCTTTCTACAAACTTTTCAGTGCAATATATTTTTAATTATTGCACTTCAACAAGATAGTACTCAAGTTTTTGAAAAAGTTGAGTTACTGGATTTTGCTGCATACTGTTGTTGTGTCCTTTGCTTACTTGCAGACGTTTCACCACTCATAGCACTCTTCAGTGAGTTCCGTATCACAAACAGTAGCTGAATTCTTAGCAACACAACACAGATGCTTAACTTATTTCATCTAATACTGACTGTAAAAGCTTACAAGAATTTGTAGTATACAACATTTAAGTTGTCAACATTTCATATCATAATACCATAAAATTGAACTTTTATCCTTCTACAAGCACATCTGTTGTATAGATATTTTATTACAATACCAATTTAAGACTAACATAAATATTGGTTAATTAATTGTGGGCATTATTGTTATAGGAATGCAGTACTTTTTAAAATACTTTAAATACAAACATACCAATTTTTGTAAATGTGTGGTGTTAATGGCGAGTGTGTCTCCTTGAAATCGGAGCAACGCTTGATCTCTATCTGGTAAATAATCCACCACAGGCAGTCGCGGACAACCAATAGCAAACTGAATTGGATAACACCAGACTTTACGGGTGCTTGCCATAGGCATATAAGGCGGTAATTCCATGCCATGCTCTTTTAAAATAGAATTTGCTTTATCTCGAACTTTTCGTGCGTATTCAGAAGATAAATTATAAATTTTTAAGCAGATACCTTCAACAGAAGGTTTTACCTAAAACATCAAATTCATCTTTCATATCTATAACACAAATTAATATGCGCTTATATTACATACTGTATCAGTAAGATGTGGTTGACACTGTGATTTTAGATGGGCCAGCCTATCCTGAAAATCATCATATGTTGCACCAACTGTTCGCCTTAACCACTGAAATGTTTCATCAACATTCCATTTCACAACTTTTCTACTTTCTGCTTCTGCATTTCTTGATTCCATAATTTTTTTTGCTGCTTCTGCATATCTTGACAGTTGTTTTCTAGCATCACCGGTAAACTTAGGACGAACTAATTTAATAGGAATATCATTCATAATTTCTTTGTACATAGACAGTGATATTTCTGGGTAACAACTGCTTGGCAAAAGTGGATCATTACCTAAAATAAGTATATTATACTTTTATTTATTGGTAGATTTGCATAAAAATCATAATGAAAATTTAACAAATTTATTTTACTAACAAGAATCATTAATATGAATCAATATACACATGAGAAATGTAAATAGAAAACATAACAAAAATACATTAACCCATCTAAATATGTACCTGTATCAATAACTTTCCTTTCCATTAACCATCGATTAAAAGAGTCTTTAGGGGCATCAATGCCTTCTCTCGAGTGACATAATTCTTGATAACACTGTCTCAATTTTGTTAATAAACTGCAACGAAAAGCTTCAATTTCTGGATGTGAGTGCATATAATTACAGGGAGGCCTCTCCAAAATAATGACATTCGTGGGTACATCAAGATCCCATGGTCCAGCCAACACAAATTTCTTCACTTGCGGTCCCACAATTTCTTCAGAAGAACGCCTTTTTACAACTGGAACTGGTCCATTTATAAGAGGAACTCCTATTGGAGAGCATGAAGGTGGAGCGCATATACCCAAAGGATCAGTTATGGGATCAAAATGTGGTTTAATAAGTGGTAATTCCCATAAACTTTCTCCACTTAACTTGTTCCAAAAGTAAGGCCTATTTTCCCTTTTTGACCAAAATTTACGCCAACCTTGTTGAACAAGCTCAAATGGTAAATCACATTCAGAAAAAGCTGCCACATTAGCAGGAGCCCCTTGAGGAGTGGTGGGCACACCAAGATGTTGAGATGGAATAGGGCTAGTATTTAAACCTTCCGGAGGAGGCCAAACCGCTCTATCGTCAGTCAGTTTTACTTCCACTTCTTCATTCATTGTTTACAAATAATGAAACGAAAACATACGTATTTCTTATGTTATACATTTATAACACAATAAAACCGTTTGCTTTAAATTTCGGTAGTCACAGCATTTAATTTAGATAATTAGATTATTTTTTTGTTACTTTTTTAATCATGAAAACACATTTCATTCATTATCTACGCACAAAGATTACGTACACCTCCACCTCGACGCCATTTGCTGACTGAAGAAAATGCGAATATCAATTGCGTCTACCAATGCGCAGCACGCCGCGCATTTACAACACATATAGCATTAATTTCAAAATATATCAAACAAGTTTAAGTCTATCCTTTATTAACACTAGTAATTATAGAGTGAAGTATACTCCTCGTAGAGTAAAGAAATATTTTGATAACTTTATGACGTTGCCAAATTGCCACAATTTCAGTAAAACAATTCTTCAAAATGTATTACATCTTTAACTATTTGCGAACAGTAATCTGATATTTTACAAACTAAATATTTTTATTCTTCTCGCTTTTCTGTTATTTTCCTCTCATTCTCAATTCTCTCATCCTTTTTAGACATCCTTTCCTTCCATTTGAATTTCCCGTCTTTTTGTACCATTTCCAGTTATTTCACTACTCTCAGAAATACGTTCGAGCATCTTTGGTTGCAGTCTGAATCTTGCTGTAAAAACTAATTCGTTTTTATTCATTGCTCTTTCGTCTTTCAATTAATTTGGTTTACCTTCCTTTCGTTCAATATTTTATTGTATTCCTTTGCGAATTTTAAGTTTTTCATTTTTCTCTTCTTTTTTACTTATCAACGCCTTTAGTTAAACATTTTGCTACTCTTTCCATACACTTCTGTCTTTTTCCAGTTTCCGTCTGTACTGCGTAATCGCCCAACCTCTTTTCATTAAAAAATTTCTTCTAGCTAATTTTAAGTTCTAAAGGGAGGGTAGATGAGTATAGTTACAAAATCTAACTTTACTTATTTAATCCTCGTCTTCTATAAACAAAATTATCAAAATCTGAGAAATGAATTTTGAATAATATGTACGTTATAACCCTTGTAATTTTTACTATCAGAAATTGCATAGCTTTTGGTTCAAATGAAGGGTAAATAGGACAATCATAAGAAATTTAACTTTATAAATTTTATATCCCTTCTCTATAAACAAAAATATTAAAATTTGGAAACGAATTTTGAAAAATATGCAAATTATATCACTTGTATGCCCAAATAAAGGCATTGTATTGCCATCTAGTGGGAACTTCCTGTCACTAAATCTTTTAATTTTCACTATCTAATTGTAATGCATTAGTAGGTTCAAAACAGAGGGTAGGCAGCACCCCTACAAAATTAACCGGCTATAAATTTTATCTCCGTTTTCTGCAAGTAAAATTATCAAAATTTGACAAACGAATTTTGAAAAGGATACAAGTTTTAATACCTGTAATCTTTACTTTCTGAAACTTTAAATTGGTGGAGTAAAGAAAACCCTTATATAAAATCTGACCTTACACATTTTGTCCACGATTTTCACAAACAGAATTATATAAATCTTAAAAAGGAACTTGCACTATAAGAAATTGCAAAGTTTTTAAACAAAATTAGCACAATCTTACAAATTAGTTTTGAATAATATACAAGTTTAACACCTATAATTTTATTATAAGGTTCAAAACGAAAGATAGAGAGCACCTTTAATAATCAGTTCTTAAAAATCTATTTATTTAATCTTTAAAATCAGATATTTTCACTGTAATACAGTTGTGAAGTTATGATGAGATTAATGGCAAACAGACGTATCTATCCATGAGGGTAAACAATACAAATTATGTTTAATACAAATAATTATGTACATTGTTTATAAGATTGCAGTCAGTTCATAAAATCATCAAAATATTCCCATACTTTCAACATTCAAACACTATAAATTTAGACGAATTTTACATTTTACAAAATGAACAAAAAATCAGGTACTTTTTGACTGTGATGTACAGATAGAGCTCAAGTTGATATAAAAAAAGCCTTTAGGACGTACAAACATAATTTTTCATCTAATTATCTTTCAATTAAATTAAATTNTTGTAAATAGAATTTGTCAATTTAATTAACTACTTAAATGCCTAAATGTATATTTAATTATAGTGTACCTACATAAAAAGTCTTACCCGGAAAAAAAATGATCAGGTATGAAAAATGAGCGGGGATGAACATGCATGATCAATGATCATACATGCTCATGTCTGATCATTTTTTCCCGAGTTGGACCAATTTTTTGTACTTTATTGCTGCAGAAAGAGGAATTACAGATGTCAACAAATTTTGATCATGTCAAGGTAAGTTATGTATATATATGTTCACATCGTAATTGTCTTTTAAGAAGGTGTTCATTCATGTTTTGTTATGTATGCCAAAGATATTAAAAACTATTTGATGCTTAATTTCTATCTTCTAGTAGGTAACGACCGGAAGTAGAGCTGCTTGAAACAGCACTTGGTAATTATTTCATTGTTTGAGAAATTAAATTAAAATTCAACTGTTTCTTTTAAAATACCTATTAAACTTATACAGTAGGTATATAATAATTACATTTTTACTAATTATGCCAATATAGAAAGTTTTACAGTAATACATATTATACTACAAATAATCATAAATTAATTTATAAACGCATTTAACTTGCAATTCAATCATATTCAGAAAGTTTATGATCAATGCAATCAATCATAAATTAATAAATGCATCTACATTACAAAATAATCAAATTTCATTCCCGTAAATTAGTTTTCAATACTGTTGCGTTAATAGTAGGTAATACATGAGTAACAAAATATTATCACAGTACAGCTGAGTTACCCAAAAAAAAAAAAAATAGAAAATTTAAACAATTAGAACTATACATATGTAGATTGAGTTTTGAGAAAAAAAATAATTTTTAGTCCCGAGTTATAAATATGTGAAGATCTAAAAAATTCTTTGTGGATGTATCTTGGTAAATCTGAAAATGTGCTGTTGCTATTTTCAAGATATTTAAGATCTTCGGATTATTTTAGAACATGTTATTTCAGACATCGATGGATCTGTGTAGTTCTTAGTTAATATTTGTTGAACTTCATTAAACTGTTCCAAAATGCAGATAATTCTGTAAATTTTTCCATGTTTCCCGAGTTAACAATACTGAGGCGAATCAGAGAAGGAAATGGGAGCGTTCCCCCCCTTCCCTAAAACTTGAATCAGAAGCAGTGCTCTCGAATACAGCGCCCAAACTCCCGCTAAATTCATAAACCCAACAACCCTATAGCCTAAATATTTTAAGCCCTTTCACCTAAACCTTAGATGTTAACTCGTTGACTCGCTACCCTCCAAGTTATGGAATTTATAAAGCTTACGGTATAGGCTGAAGGGATTTAAAAAGTTTACGTTATAGGCTTATGGAAGTATTTAGGCTTTAGATTAAAAGGTTTAAAACGCTTTTTCTTTTTTAAATTTTTTATATTCCCCTTTTACAATCGCGCTTTTGGATCTCGCCCCTGAAGCAACGACAATTAACATATATGTATTAACTGAATTTTATGGAGTTGGACTTATTTCTGCAACACCAAATGCACTAATGAAAACATTAATTGCAGTAATTAAAAAAATTCCTATAACTGTATAATTGTTCAGTCGGTTGGCAATGTGGATTTCCCCTTCGTTTTTGACGTCATAGTGAGAGTTCCAAATGAGACCAACGCCAACACCCACCTGAAAAAAAAAAAACAAAAAATTTACAAAACATTCCTGCGCTCAGTTGCCATATTTTAAAAAAATAATAAAAATAGATCAGTTTAGAATGTTTTATATATACCTACAAGCAATAAATTTTAAAAATAAAACCATTTAAATTTATCTCTATTTACCAATTTTAAAATTTAATTTGGTAATGCTTTCTCTACATTTTCCAATAATTTATTGGAAATTAGATCGGAAGGGAACGGCGTTATAAACGGTTTAATTCAATTTTATTATTCTGCTTTCAACTTTTGGAAAAGTTTTAACTTACGCAAGAAATAAATCATTTTATAGGAATTTGCAATTTGGTGCCTAGTTACGATTAGGTAAAACTCTCAAAACAACAAAAAAATTTTTATTTATCGTCTCATATTTTGTTTCACTGCTAATTTTTAATAGCTTCATCAAATCAAACTTTGCAATTGTATATCGTGCAAATAGTTATTTATTATTTTTTATGCAATACTTTTTTCAAGCTCTGTAGTGTATGACCCCTAATAAATCACCCTACTTTATGTAAATTTGGTTGCCTAACTTAATCTCTTTTTGACTAAACAGTGATGCAGTTTCTTAAGAAAATCGAAATATTTCCATTTCTGTAACATTTAAAAAAATATATCTTAGGATGCTAATTAAAAATGCTCCGAACTGTCATTTGTCCAAATGCAGATTATAACTCATTATTACGTGTCTGGAATTTACAAAAATAGGTAGGTATTAAATTTTTTTTTATAAAAACAAAAATGAAGAGTGAATTCAGAAAAGGCGCTCCGAACATTTGTAGATAATGATGAAACCTTTGATTTGAGACTTCTATCACTCTTCCAACTTGTATACATTGAAACTAATTCATAAAATAAAAATCAACCAAATCTCATCTTTCTAAAACTACTTATTCGAGATTTTAAAGGTTGGACGAAATTACCCCAGCCCGTCTTTCCATCGATAATACAAAACAATGATAATAATGCAAGGATAATTTAATTTATAAAATGAAAAATTGAATTTTAACTCGATTTTCTAACCCTTGCTTAATAAACAAAAAAATACAAAATTATTATCTGTCCAATTAAAAGAAATATAAATTTATCTAATGTAGAAATTATATAATATTTGTTCTGCATACCTTTCGTTTTTTTATTTCCATTCTGATTTCAAAATAATTAAATTTTATTTTTCTAGCATATGTAAAGTAATATTTAACACACATTTGATTAAAAAAAAAAACGTAACATTAAACGCATGTTCATATTAAATATAAATACGCAGAGAAGGTAGTTATAAAAAATTGTTATTTCAATAAAGTATCGTTTAATGATCACGCAGAATTAAGAACAAAAAATTCTATATAAGAAATATATGCATTAAGACAATAAAGTACCTATGTACATGAACAATCTTTCTCATTATAATTATAACCCTGACGGAAATATTCTAAGGAATTCTATGAAACAGAAAATCATGGAAAGTAAAAGATAGGTGTTTACAGAAAATAATAGAAAAAAATATGTTTTTAGGATTTTTATTGATTTTTTATGAAAAAATTATGCTTACAATTATAAAAAGGTATTACTATTGAACATGAAAAACTTTTTCGAAATTACTTATTTTCTATAAGAAAAATTATAAATTTCTCTGAAAAAATCGTCAACAAATTATAAAAAATTATGAGCGATTTATTATTTTATTTTGTTGATACTTTATACGATTAGTATAAAATAAATTTCAAATAACTGTTAAGATAACATGTATACGTAATATATAAAACAATAAAACAGAAAAATGAGAACTTATAACAATGATCTTCACTCTTATGACTGTGGTTTTAGATTTCTGGTAGATAAATGTATAATTTTTGGTGTTTCGCTATTGAAAGATGTAATACGAGAACACTGAGATATCAATTGAAAATAATGCAGTTCCTTCGTAATTGGGAATTTATAATTTTTTACCTGTATTAAAATATTCTTATACTGGACATCGAACTGGCAGAAATCATTATTTCTCGTGCCTACATTTTTATTTTTAATAAATTTACACAAATTTGTAATTTTTAATAAAAAAAGTCTAAAAAATAACTATAAAAAATTATGAAAATGCCTGAATTTAGATGTACTTTTCATTTCTTCAAAATTTTTCAGTTTTCTTTCCGTCACGGAAACTGAGCACTATAATTGTGAGGTGAAAGGAGTATCTTGGAGGATTTTTGCAATAAAACAAGACTTATTTGTATTCGTAGAATATTAAGGCGCAACACTTGATGGAGAAATATTTGCTACTCCAAATGCAGATATAAAAACGTTTAATACAGTCACAAGAAAAATTCCTAACACTGTGTAGTTATTTAATTTGTTGGCAATACAAATTTCTCTTTCATCTTTAACATTATAATGCGCATTGCAAATCAGTCCAATACCAACAGCTACCTGCAACAAAAATAAACTCTGCATTCATTTACCTTATCTGCATGCATAAAAATAAAACTAGTGTCAGAATTTTAAAATAAGCATTTTGATATCATATTATTATGGAACACATTTACTTTACTATCTACTTTTCTCGCAAGGATTATCTGGATATGTCAAGAAGTCATTTGTTTGTTTGGTTAGTACATACGTAATGACTAAAAAGTCAGTTAAAAAAAGTGGACGAACTGCCCGCGCGGACCGCGTCGTCTGACCGCTGCGGACTTCATGTAAGGTAGAAGATAAAAAATTGATTAGCACAGTCGATAGAGCATAAAATCTCTTTGTCCCTTTGATTTTGGTTGTGACTGTTAAACCAAATTTTTTGCAGTAACTAGTTTGTAACAACATCCCGAACAACAATAGTTGACTGCCAAACTGAAAAAATTAAAACGACAAAAAAAAAAGTATTTTCTAACTATAACGTGGAGGATAGATAAAAAGGTCAGGAACAGTGTGAGGTCAAATTTGCAGCACTGGCATTAAAATACATTTTTGAAATATTTCTAATTGCAAATTTAAATTCGCAAAAACTATTCACCGATCTTTTGAACAAATTTCGAGTGTAGAAGTTCGCGCGGACAATCCGCATTGTGTTTAACTGAGCCTAAGCTTTAATCATATATAAAAATTATACATAATTTACGGCAACAACAACAAATTGCCAATCATACTTTAAAATTATTATAACGTACTGAGAGAGTCGTATTTGGATATTTTTATTTTTATTTTTGTTGAAGTTACTGTTTAAATGTTATTTTTTTCAACTAAAACTCCTTTTTATCGAAGAAAACTGTAAAATGATTTTTACAAAATCTTGCTCTCTTTGAGAGATGTTTTTCTTGTGAATCTATAAAGAAAGCTGGAAAATACGAGAATACATCCTTTTTTAAGTAATGGAAAAAAATTCCTTGGTTTGTTCTTCCAGAATAGTGACTTTTAGGGATTTACCACTAGACGGTGTCGAATTTAATACCCTAAATTTTCAATATTCTTACGGTTTAATAAGAATTTTATATACAGTAATACAGTTTACGAAAGTTTTCGTACAATTCATGTACTCTATCAGAACGATGGCGTACCTACTACGAACTATTGTAGCTAAATTTAACATTATTTTCGTATTACACGACGTTCAGTGACTTTTCATCACCGATGTNAAATTGACCATTGTCGCCCCCCTCATCTCCGAAACTGCTAAGCCTAAAATTTGAAAAAAAACATGCAGAAAATAGTTTTTTACTTATAGATTACATACAAAAACTCCTTTTACTTTGTCCAAATCGAGAGTTTTTGGGATTCTCAATGAACAAGATTACTAAATTACTTAGGGAGCATACATTAATTACGTGAGGGACTTTTCTATTAATTTGGGCCTCCCTCCTCCTCACGTGAGGTTTTCCAGGGCAAAATGGAACACTTCAAAAAAATTAAATTTAATGAATCGTATCGTATTATCTTTGAATTAAAAAATTGACGCGAGATTTTCAATGATCTCCTTCCTTTTTAAATGAGATTTGATGAGATTTTGCTTGATCCCCGCATTTTGAGTTCACGTAATTAATGGATGACGCAAGAAAATTTCACTTTCTGTACGAGGGGTGCACACCAGGCGTCGAAATAAGCACGTGTGCAAGAGTTGAATTATAATCTTAGCCTACGTGAAACAAAAAATCTAACTATTACATTTGCTATGTCTCTAATTAAGATTAACATACAGTCTTTTTCTAAAGAAACTGTTTATGTTATTACACCAATTTTTCATCACCCAGCTTGTTGTTTTAGATGTGCGAATTTTACGTCAAATTTGAATCCAATTTGATATTAACTCTAACTGCCCAAACCCTGCTATTAATTGTTCTTTTCCTGCTCCAGCTTCAGCGATTTTAAAGTTAATTTCGTTCGTACTAAACATACAGATAGACAGAAAGGTAATATTTTTATTGATTTAAATATTGAAAAGATAATATATAAATGACACATGACTACTAATAGGTAAAAGATGATCCTTTAAAACCACCTTAAAAGTTAAATTCTCTTTTCGTTGAAAAGTTACTTAACGTTTTTCTTGAACTTCAATGTATTCGATTTTGATCTTCTTGTATGAAAATAAAACGATCATGTGAATTCGATAATAAGAGAGGACTCACCGTTCCATATATTCTTGGGCTTTGGTAAACTTCCTGTAAAGGGGTGTATTAAACCTTCTCCACAATTGAGGGCCATTGTCAGTTTTTAAAATGCAACTGTTGGAAGCCAAGGCGGCTTCCATTAGTTTTGTAGATTTCGAATTTGCTTTCAATTCTTCCTTTGAAAAGCTATTTAATCTTATATCTAAAGCTGTCATACAAGTTACTAAAATACAAATATTAATTGATATTGTAAAAGTGAACACTGTACAATTCCGCATGTTTTTGATTATGTAATTTCTGATCTGTTTTTTTTTTAAGATTAAAGTTAAACAAAAATCATAAAAGATGGTCAATTTATTTTTATAAATCAGTGATACGTAAAATTGAAATTCGATGGCAACAGTTTTTATTATTTGGTAAAATATTTAAGAAATTTCACTCCAATAGTAAAGAGGTACTCACTAACATTCTAAAAATAATCTGGAGATCTCAGAAAGATAATCAATATTATGGATAAACCTTATTTCATTGATCCGTTCGATCCAATCATCGATAATTTCACTGGTTGGTGAAATAAAATTTAGGACCGAAGATGGACTGCTTAAACCGCGTTGAAATGTGGTACGAATTCGAAGCCATTCTGGTCCATTTCTAAAGATATTAATAGAAGTATACGAATTTCTTGGACTAAATACAGTGGAATCGCGATATTGTGAACTACACATAATGTAAACCCCGTATAATGTGACCAGCAAATAAACTGTTCTAGAGGTCTGTATATCATAAAACATTCGGTTGTGAAACCGAATGCCCATTAATCAGGGCCGGACTGACCATTGAACGTGCGGACGAAGCCGACCAAATAAAATTAAGGACCAAAGCGAAGAAATTAAAGGTTAGTATGTACTCAAGTTTCATGTGAGAGAATCTTCTTGTTCTTAAGAATTATACAAAATTGACCCCTAATCAAGATTGTTGAAACCTTTTGTTTTAATTTCTATTAAAATAAATATCACTTATACAATTAAAAATTGTTACTGAAATGTTTAATTACTGTTTGTGTGAAAATTAAGAGTTATTAGGATCATTGAGTTTATAACGCTTGGTTTAGAGGGTTACAAGTTTCAAAACGCGTGAGTTATGAGACTTTAAGAAGTTTCCGGAATTACACTGTGAAAAAAGTTAGTTATGCACAAAAAAAGTAGTAAATAACTAATTGTACGAAATATATCTGCAAAATATGATTTGCTGAAGCTCTTGACATTAGCAGTGAAACAAAATAGACGCAAAATATTAAAAATCCAGTCAAAAAGGACGCCCCATAAAAAAAAGCCTTTAATCGATTATTCTTTAAAGTCGTTTATCATTTATATTTACATCAATTAACATTTTCCAAATCTTTTAAAATATTTAATTTGATTAAGCAGTGGACAAAGAGGACAAAAATTGAATTTTTGGATAAAAGAAGCGTAAAATGCCATAAAGGCGAATGATTTTACATTTTCAATATTATCAGGATTTTGTAAAAATTTCAACCGACTTTATTAAGCGATTTTAAGGATATTACCGAATAAAAAGAGGTTTTTGAATTGTAGACGAAATTAGTATAATCGGGATATCGGATAGTACAATATTCTGGTATTAAAAGACGATTAAAACATTTAATTAAATGATGGAAAGAAGAAACTAGCTGACAATTAAAATGTTTAATTAAAAGATCGAATTATGTAATAGACCTAATTTCAATATCGAGGATGTTTTGGTTTAATCACAAGCTTTAATTAAAATCGTCAATTTTAAGTTGGAACTAAACAATTGCAAAGTAATGGGAGGTTTTAAATGTCTATTTTCGGGTGTATAATTTGTTGCATACACATACATTTTAATACAAATAATTGATATATTCACCAGCGATAAGGTACCCTACAGTCAAATAACAATAAGGTATCAAAAGTCGTACAACAGTGATTAAAAAACATAAATTAAATAAGCTGTTAACCTGTTGAAGAATTTAAAGAAAAAAAACCACCGTGGGGTATATTCGCACGGCCATACCTATTAGTATTTAAATAAAATATTTACGTTGGAAGTAATCCTCCAGTATTATAAATATGTGGCCTATCAAGACGATATTTTTCTAGGGCTAAGTGACTCCTTCTTTGAGGGTATTTCCCTTCAACTCTAAATAAAGTTTCTATATCTTCTGGTTTAAACAGCCAAACGATATTTACACCACTAACAATTTCTTCTCGCACCACAGGACCAAACTCTTTAAACTTTTTTAATCCATTTACATGAAGTTTATCAAAATGATAATCCCCTAAAATAATTGTGAAACATTTTTATTTATTTATATAGGGATTGTAAATAATTTGCATGTTTACACAGGGTATTCGTTGTATGTAGAATACAACAAAAAAATTGAATGTTACGTATTACCTAACTTTGATTGAGTAAATTAAATAAATACAATTTCTTTTAATAGCGTTAATTCGTAAACCATTTTTTTTTTCATTTTTAAAACGAATTTGATCAATTAAATGAAATAGAACCACTTAAAATTTTAGTATCTTCATATTACATTCAATAAATTGTAAAAAAACACTAGTTTTTATATTGTTATAAAAGATGTTCCTCGCACCTGCATATTTGTTTGAATCTCGAACAATAAATGCTATGTAAGTCCCTAATATACAGAGAGGATTAAAAGTTNTTGGTCCAAATTTTTATTGAAGTAAAATTTAGTTAAATCTTATTTTTAGCGATGTTGACTATTCAAAAAAAACATACACATGATGACGAAAAAATAACCGACGATTTGTGGTTCATGGTCAAACAAACTATACATAATGTGGGCTGAACATATTTCCTTAAAGGGATGCTGATTAATAGACGCTTTTAAACATTTCTTTTTGTTACAGGACAATGAACTTGAGATGAAACTAAAACCCAAAGAGTAAATTTCCGAAGTTGGGGTTTTTCCCTGTAATTACACATACAACTAACCATAATGAAATACTATAAACTATAATTTTTCAAAGGGACTTTTTGTGAAATTAATTATTCTTTTGCGTAGGACGAAAGGTGTGAAGTTAAATTGAAAAGTGAAGAATGATAACTTATAAATACTTTATATTCATTCACCTTCTTCTTTCGGCTCTTTATTTTTAAGCCTTTCTCGGAAATTTATCTAAAAATTTAAAGTTCAAATATAACTTATTAATTTGAAATTTGCCCTCTCTTAGAAATTTTGAAAATGTTAATCATATTGTGCGTAATGAAACGCCAAAAGTAATGGTTCTCTAAAAAACTTCACTGACAATACACACAAGATATATGTATCTGTACAGAACTATAAGCAGGAGTGGGCTGGGACTATGAAAGGACCCGGGAATTCTAAGTATCAAAGTCTAAAGAGCATTTTCTGACAAAGCAAATATTTAGGCATGCAGGAGCCCTGTATCGTGTAAAGGGGCCGGGAGAAATCTCCTAAACTCCCTTATGGTCAGTATTATAAAATATACTATAAGTCTAGTGATCTATTTGAAAATTTTAGATTTTGAAATTGTTTAAAAGAATCACAAGCTAAAAATCTGACTAATTGAGGTTTTTGATCTAATTTGATTTCGAATTAAAACAATTGCATTGACAAATCATTGCCGGTTAAATAGTTTAGACCTGGCTGATAGAAATTATGATTTCTACTATTTAAATTTGACAAATATCTTTTGTCCAGAACCACAACTAATAATAATTAATTATGTTTTAGCCTAAATAAGAACACAATAGTAGTTTACCCTCTTTTGTGTATACGTAATAATTTCAAAAGTCGATTAAACTTACCTGAAAAATTATACTTAACGAAATGAGAACGAGGCTTGGATAATAATAGGGATGTCTATCGTAACTTTCCAACACATATCTTAATTGATTAGCGTTTGCGGAAAAAAGCGCTAAATCCATCATTCCTTGAGCTAAAGTTTTCTTATGTTGGTAAACATTTATATCCGGAAGGGGTTCCGGAATTCCACCTTCCACATCCGGCCTAATTCCCGGAAAATTCGACGGCTTTTCGGGATGGTTTGGCCAGTGTGGTCCGAACTCTGGAACTGTCGGAAAATGTCTACCTGGAATATAAGGTCGTCCAATATCGGGTTCATCTCTCCCATCGTCATTATCGGGGTTGTTACCTGGTTGGTCTTCTCCTTCGGGTGGATTCGTTCTGGTGGGAGTTTTTGGAACCAGTGGAATATTTTCAACATCGGGGTTATTATTATTATTGGTACCATTACCAAAAAAGCCATCGTCAACTCCTGGGTATGGGTCGTTCACCGTTTCCCTATCATCACCACCCTCTTCTTCTTCTATCTCCGGTTTTTTACTGGGTTTTTGGGGTATAACTTCTACATCTGGATTTGCCGTTTGTCTAGGATTAGATCTGCTTACCGGCATTCTTCTGTTGTAATATTGTCTTATTCGTTCTGAATAAGGCACTGCTGTATTAATTCTATTGTCCGATTTCTCATTTGTATGAACGATTTCAGATGGTTGGTCATTCAGACCGATGACTGGAGCAACTGGTTTATCACTTTCATCCGCAGCATCACTCATTGCGTACCAACAAAATATGGTAAAGAAATGATAAATAAAACTTCAATCGCATACGTCCAGCGTCTGTATGTTGTCTTCGATCTAATGAACTGTTCTGTTTGTTATAAGGTCGAGGCAATTGAATGTTGTAGTAGGAAATTTTATAAATAAACCAACACACACTTGCACACACGCGATTCACTTGAATAATACCTCGTGTAATTTGCGCTTGCTCTATAACTTTCTTTTCTTTTTTCTGGCTTGTTGCACCGCATATTCCGTTCGTTTCCGAATACACCAGACAACTGGGTTTTCACATCAAACACACAATAAAATAACACAGTGACTCACAGGATAGTTACTAATTACTGGTTACACGAAGCAAATTTTTAACATACCATAGTGATACTAAAACAGTGGCAACTAATAAGATCGAGTGATGCGATGATGGTGATGTCTTAAATGACGCTAAATACAGAGATCATTCAAGGCTGTGCCGCCGTGTGTAAAGCAATGTTTAGCATTATTTATTTATTGTTAGACATGTGCTAACAATCCGCATTTTAATTATTAGTTAGACGCCGCTCAATGCTAATGATTTTCCTTATGTAAAAAAGTTTTATCAGTAGTTTGACAAAAACAGAATTTAGTTTATTTTAAGCGAAATTCTTAACATAAATTATGTTGAGCATTTGGTAATGTTTTGTAACTGCTACTTACCTATACCATACATACATGTACCTATACGTTTATACTGTCATAAATTGTCAGTTTCTCGAAACAAGAAAAACAGCATACTGAAAATAGTTTATATACATATTTTCTTATTTACGTATAAAATTATTATACGTTTCTTTACTCAAGGAATGTTGGATTTAAAGATAATTACGTTGTTCTCAACTTTCAAAAGAATTCTACCAAAATTATTAATTGAATCTAATTTCGTTGGTATCCAAAATTCAAAATATGAAAAATGACCCTAATCTCGTCAATTAAACCAACGATGTGTTCTATATTTGAACTTTGAAAGCTTTTATAATAAAGAAAGTTCAAATATAGAACACATCGTTGGTTAATTGACGAGATGAGAGTCATTTTTCGCATTTTGAATTCTACCAAAACTATTTTGAAAAGAATCACAATTCTCATCTTATGCATTTTCTCATAATCGGCTTTGTGTTGATAGTATTTTTATATAGGCATATTTCGTACTGTCCCGTTTCATACCGTTACCCCTAAATTTCCTGCTTCGTACCGCGTCCCAAATGTATGCTTGTTCTCCCTTTTGCAGAGCAGCTAACGAAACATGACTCTTGTGAACGAGAGCATTCTCAATTTTCCTCTTCTTTTTCATTGATGATATCTTTTAACTGCTCTAGGATTATAATCGATTAATAGGATTCCTGTTGAGTCCCAAGAAACTGTCGCCATGATCTTTCCGGCCGACTGTGGTGGTAGTGTACCTTTTCACTGCATGGAATTCTGTTTATAGACTCTCAGGTTTATAATGATGAACCCAAGCTTAATCCCCCGTAACAATTCGACTTAAAACACATTCCTCAAAAAAACACATGAAAATATTCCACGTTATAATGTTTTTGCGGCAGTGTGAACATTCTCGGCACCCATCATGCACTGACCTTAGTCATGTCAAGATGTTCGTGAAGAATTTTGAAAATGGTTATATCGGATACTTCAATCATTTCTGCAAGCTGTTTTTTGTTTAGTCAAGCATCTTCCAATATTAATTTTTCAACTTTTCGAATAATTTCCGGAGTGGTCGCTGCGATTGGTCATCCTGGCTGTGGGTCCCTGCTTATTTAGGGATTGCACCACTTATATACCATGGCAAGAGTCTCCATTTCATATCTTCTAGTATGGTTTGAACAGACTCTCCTTGCTTTATAACAGCGCAGTATTCGATTTTTTTCGTGTTTCACACTTTCTTCTCGATTGAGTTGCTTGGTCGGCGATACTTCAAAGACTAATGACCGATATTTAATAAAATAATTGTTGATAGATTATTTATAAAGGGGATAGCTTTTTCTAAGGAAGTGAGGAAAGTACAAAAAATTAGCTTATTATGTTTAAAAAAAAATCGACTGCACAAATCACTGATATTGCATTCCACAACATTTGCTAGTAAAATAAGGAAGCGCGCTAGGATTTGTTGATTATTTTTGTTTCTAATTATTAAACTATTTTTCTAATTATAAATCTTGGGATATTTTATGTGATTTCATATTATACATATACCCAATCATTACTGAAAAGACAATGTTAAATTTAAAAGAACGTAGACTATGGCCAGTGTCATTAAATGATGTATTTTCTAAGATAATTGGTCGTAATCAAAGATAACAACATCTTCAGTAATTGTTCTTATATTTCTACCAACATTCTAAAGAAAAATAAAGCAACTATCATATATCAAAGCATTTACAACCGCATTTTGTTTCCGATCTTTTACACATTTTAATAAGAGAAAGAAATGGAATCCATAGTTTCATTAGCTTTGAGTTCATCTAATGAAGTTTTCCGAATCTTTTTCTAAGAATTTATTAGCACACCACAATATCTTATAGTTTTCAGTTTTAAACAGCTGGAGTATATCAATTCGATATTGTTTTGCGGGCTGTTTTGTCATAATTCATAGAATTTCGCAGTTCCTTGCTAAAGGTACGATAAGTGGTGGCAGATGTTGATATCAGTTTGGAACTTCAAAATTCCATGGACCATGTCATTGAACCCGGAAAACAATGTCGATCCAATATTTTAGGTTATTCATTTCCAAAGAATTTACATTTTTTTGGACTCTCTTCAGTTAAAGAATTGGAAGGCATTCGTGGAATGCCTCTTGTCCCCTTTTCAAACTTCTAATACCTTCAGTGGCCAATGTGAGCAACTTTCATTCATCATTTTATATAATGTTTGATCGGTGACCCTAGCAAAAAGTTTAACAGCAAAAATGTATTTTGCATACAAATAGAAAATACGTTTGGAAAAGTATTTCAAATAAAATAGAAATGTATATCTATACACGGCTAGTTGATATGTGACACATGCACATAATATTTTATTCGTTAGCATACGGTACAAAACAATAAAATAGAAACAATAAAACATAATAGCATACACAACAACTGCTATAATGACAAAAAATATTAAAAATTAAAAAGACATTTTATAGATGGTCATATGTATGGGCCCTCGCTCAGATTGGGGAAAAATGTGTGCAAATTAAGGGTATTTGCGATGACTTTGTAGAACACTAAAAAATACTGTTAGGTGGAGGCTGGATGCGCGAGAGGAGAAAGTGAAGGATCGAATAAAAATAAATAAACTTAACTCTTGATGCAGATACACTTAGCCATGGTTAGATTATGGTGGGAAATTATATCCTCATTTGAATGTACCAAAAAGGAGAGGTTAGATAATGGTGGCTGAAAATTCCCCTCCCTCAACAAAAGAAAAAGCTAAAACCCGACAGACGACCCCACCGTCTCTACAATGACCGTTTAATTTTATTCGATTCTTCACCACCACCCTTCCGCCACTACGTAAAATCATATTTTAGTGAAGTAAAAGCACTCCCTCCCCCCCCCTTTCATCCCTTACCCCTTATCCGAGCGAGAATCTATATCATCACTGACAATTTTTTTATCTAAAATAAAGAACATTTAGCATTATTCTTTTGGAATATATGTATTATGTAATATTACATTATTACATTATTTTCGTTCATCAAAAATCAGTTTAATTGGTCCATCAGGTTTATTTATAAGTAATGATTTGGAATCTAAGGCTCCGCCATTCCATCTAATTTTAAAACGTCTTGAGAGCTAAAAACAGAAGTGATCTGTAAGGTTGAACCAGTTCAGGAAGGCAAAGTTCCAAATTAATTGTTATATTAAAGGTCTCTTTATCTGTTTGACCTTTTGATAATACAAAATGACCAACTCCTCATAAGTATTTTCGCATTGAACATAAGCCAAAAAAGAAACAATAAAAAATCGAAACATATTTAACTAACCCAATTGTCTTATATTGAAGCTTGTTAGTATAAAGTACCCTGACTGAAAGTAAGTTTAATAACAACATGAATAAATAAAAAATAGTCAAAAAATTAAATGTTTTGTTAAGAACCTAATCATTTTAACCAAACACAATAGCGCAGTTAATTTCTGGTCAAATGACTCACTTTTAACAGCAATATTCGTATATTTTGCTCAGCTAACCATCTAGCAATACAGCTACGGGGCCCATGTCCAAAAGGTAAAACCAAAAATGGATGAACTGACTTGTAAGCTTCGTAAGACCTTAACCACCGTTCTGGTTTAAATTCGTTTGGGTTTTCAAAGTATTCTTCAAAACGACAAGATACTTGGTTTTGACTTACTACGACTGTCTGAAATCAATATTTGAGTTTTTATTAACTGATAAAGTTAGGGATGGGGAAGTGTGTAGTTTTATCAGGTACCTATAGATACCTGTTTTGGTACATGATATCCAGAAAATATGGCATCCTTATCAAGAACTCGACCTATACCCACTGATACCGGCCTTAACCGAAGTGATTCCTTTAAAACTGCTTTTGTATAATGAGCTTTATTTAATATTTCCTTAGTAACAGGCTCGTCCCATCGAGACAATAACGTTTTACTCTCTTCATGTAAAGCTTCCTGAACTTTTGGATTACACGATAAGTAGTAAAGTACGAAGCTTGTAGTGTAGGCAGACTAAAAACAGATAATCCCCAATTTCACATAGTTTATTAGAAAATACAAAATAAACAATATTAAATGCTTAAATAAATAATTATTAAAAAAACTATAAACGAGTTCAAAAACTTATTGTAAAGTATTCTTTATTACAATTTGTTCATCGTTTTACTTTTATTAATTCAATGCAAATATAACTTACGATATCCCCCGTGAGAATTGTAAATTATTAAAAACAATTTTTTCAATGAAACTAGTAGATACGTTGGCAATTTCGAATTACATTTTTTATACTTATTAATAAGTCAATAAACTTGCTTTATTTGGTATTATCGCAAAAGTCTTATATGGGGTGAGTCATTTTTCTTTCTTGAGTCAACGAAATGTATTTCATTATTTGAAAAACATTTTAGATAAAAATTGTATACTTGCGAAGCCATTTTTATTAATAGGAATACATATTTTTGACTGGAGCAGTAGAA